GGTACCGAAATTCATAGCCGAGTGGTTTGGGGGGTTTGAGCACATTTTAGAAGTAGCCGACTCCATGAGAAAGGTGCATATAGAGTGTGCCTGGTTGACTGAGGAGTTCTATAGGCCCTCATTGAAATATGGGCCCTTCAACGGGGATAAAGCCGAGGAAGTCACCATCGTCCTAAGAATAGGCAGGTATGACCGCCTAGAGGTAGAGGCGGAGTCTTGGGACGCCATAGTTAGCCGGGAGGCGGTGGCTGCACCCTCCTACGTAGACGACGTTTTTAAACTATTTGAGGTACTGTGGTTCGACTGAATGAGGTCAAGGAATCAAACACAACGAAAAGACCTGAGTATGGAGGGTGCTTGTGAAGTTAGGTGTAACATAAGAAAGGGAATGTGTACATTAGGCCGTAGATGGTGCATAAGGATCGAAACAAGGGGGAAGTGACAGCAACTGGAAAATGGGGGTCGGGTAGAATTGAACGTGTATGATTGGGGATAGCGGCAGGAACCAGTGTACGCTAAGTAGGGAGGGTTGAAAGACTAAAACACGAAAGGCATGGAATCTCGGTGGGTGCAGCGATCGGACTAAGAAAGCAGGAAATGAGACATTGCGAGATGGCCCGACGAATGACGTTCTGGGCGGATAGACCTCGTGGGATCCTGCCACCAAGAATATCAGAGGGCAGGGTCGAAATAAGCCTGCCGACGAAAAATACGGTAGGCAATCCGGTAATGGACTGGGTGGGGGTAGAGTTGGTGGAAGATACGGTGTACCTAGTAGTGGAGCTAGAATGGCGGGCGAGAGGGGAGTTCGGGGGCATAGACTTGAACCGCCCAGGGCGTGTACACGCAACGGGATCCTTACACCTGTCAGAAGAGGGATGACGGAGCTTTGGGATTGCTTTGGCTTCCGGGGATGACCCTGTGCGAATGTTCGAAGGAGCATGGCAAATAACCTGGTGGGAGGGGTTTGAGTTTGCAGATCCGGAACGAGATAACGTGACGGCTGAGGTAAAAGTCGCCGCAGCAGGGGTCTTTGAGCTGCCGAATGAAATCGTACGGATGAGTCTGCCGCCCTTCCTGCTAAGACGAATGGGAGGCATAGAACGAGTGGAGCAGGCGGTAACTGTCATAAGTAGGCTAAATTTTGACGAAGCGATAATGTATCGAGAGTACTATCGGGCCTTTCTAGAGATGGGGCCTTTGGGGGACGAACAAGGGGGCGAGGTGCTTTGCATTCTACGAGCAGCGATGAATACTAGGCCAGGAGTCCCGCAAATAAGTTATGAGACTATGTGGAGATTCATCCGGCGAGAGGTAGGTCGGGGCGCGACCTACATAGATGTTCTCTACCGGCTGTATGAGCAGCCCGAGGAGGCTACTGCTCCCACGGGTATAGAGGGATAGTTGGGACTAGAAAGGGAAATGAAAACACGAAGGACAAGGGGGCAGTAGGTGGACGGTTTCTAAGGATTGGCTGTAACACTTTCTATGTGGATCATGCAGGAAATCACCAAGGTAACCATGGCAGCAAGACGTGAGCATATGGAACTTCAGGCCCGTGTGCGAATGACACGCCAACCCCGGTACCCCGGACCGCCGTAGAATAACGGTGGACGCTGGGAAGTATCCCTCCCATCGAGTTCAACTTATCGGGGGTTCGATATAGAATGGCGGGCTGTGACCTTGGGGAGGGACGCCGCCTTCATATTGGTAGAATGTCGGTGGACAGGGATGAGACTCGACCGAGGACCCGGGGACCATCTGTTTTCCAATCTCGAAGTTACCGGGACCATGTATCTGCCTTAGATCGGCTGGCACTCGCTAGGGGTAGAGATAACATAAGATCACGAGCTGGCGCCGGTTTTTCAAAGGGCCGCCTGGACGTTGACTCGGATAGGACAATCAGTCAGGGGTAGAAGGAATGTGGGCTTACTTACCCGGGTGGAAATGGGGGGATGGCGTGAATTCAGAGCACCAACCATGCCGCTGAGGTGCCGGGTCCCCCGTTTTATGATAGATCTCGTCTTCGGGAGCCTCGCAAGGGCGCGAGAGATGGCAGACTCGGCAATAATATGGGCATACCACTTTCCCTCTCTAACCATCGGGATGTTCTATGATGTTGCCGTGAGGCATGGGCCGTTCTGGGGAAACAGGGCCCATGAGTTACTGGAGGTCATCCATATCCTGATATTTCGTGCGCCCTGGCTAGACCAGACAGGGCACGAATGCATAATCCAAAGGGAAATCGAGATAGGTGAGAGCTATTTGGCAGGGGTGGCCGAGCTATTCGAGGTGCCGACCGAACCGGAAGAACCACGAGGGCGCGAGCGGGACTAGGATCCGCAGGCAGGCCAATAGGGCAAATCCAGTATAGTTCGCTACGTACAGAAATCTACCGATGAGAATAAGAAAGGGGCCTCGGACCCGGATGGCTAAAACCCATTAGGAAAACAAAGAAGGGGGTAGACTCCTAACGATTGACCATAACCCGGAAGGTCAAGAATAGAAAACACTGCTTGGAAAGACTTTCCCTAGCAGAATGCCTAACCCGGACTCCCTCGCATCGGCCCGAAGGGACAAGGGCACGACAAACAGGCTTGTGATAAAGGAAGCCAAGTCACGCTCATAGCTCGGCTGAGCGGCACGGCCAGTCGTGGCTCCTCCTTAAGGAAGGGCAATCAAAAAACGAGGATGGGAAAGGAGGCTATACAGATAAGCCAACAGGGTTGGGAGCCTAGGAAACCAAAAATACCTCGTATTGCATGTGTCCTGGGAATTCTTTGGCTTATGCAAAACTAGGCGAAATGGCAACGGAGGAGGAGACAGATAATCATAAGAGTGAAGAAGAACCAGGCTTAGGAGGCAGTGACGCACAAAGCGAAGGGGGGCAGAAGGACAGAGAATCGATAAATCCGGATGGTACCAAAGGGAACCGGAAGGAGATATCCACAGGGGAAAGCTCGGGGAAAGCTGGGGGAAGCAGGCAGGGGACTCAGGGGACCAAGGAAGGCAGGAATAAGGATAGGACAAACCCCAGGAACTCGGAGGGAGTCGTGTCTAAGAAAGTAAGAGTCACGGATACGAGGCGCAGACTAGCCGAGATAGACAAAAGGACCGCGGAATACAAGGCGAGATTGATTGAGGAAATGATGACTGGGAACGAAGAAGGTTCTCTGCAGGAGGAACCCCGGGACGAACGGAGAACCGGCCGAGGTGGGACTGGACAAGGGGATAAAGGTAGTGACCGTGGGGAACGCCGAGCAAAAGAAGGAAAAAAGGGGAGAACTCTCTGGGGATGGACGCGGAAAAGGCTACGACCCGCCAACCATAGATAGTAGGGCTAGCCCCCTGCCGACCGCGTCAGCAGTGACGCGAGGGTACGAAGGACTCCGGAGCCTTAGGGAAAGAGTGTTGGGATGGTTTGTCCCAGAAGGAACTACGAAAACCAAGGAGGGACAAAAGGCCGGCAAGGAAGGTCCTGATAACAATGTGAGAGGCAAGGCCAGCAGCTCCGAGGGCGGCCTTAAGAAGATAGTGTCGTCCCTCGCGTGAACACTAAACAAAAATCAAGGCTACCTAGCGGATGCTAAGAAGAAGTTGACGTTTGATGGGGCGAACATCACACAATTCCTGATAGATTACGAGAACCTGGCTGCGCTGTTGAAATGGACGGAAGAGGAGAAGATGGACCACCTGGGACAGCATGTGTCTTTGAGCCTAGGACGGGACATAATGGCCATCGTAGCCGCAAGCCGGTCTTGGAAAGAAACCCGGGATGTGATGATGAGAAAGTATCTGGCAGCACAAATGGTTAACGGGGACCTCCATTTTCAGCTACTGACTAATGGGACCAAAACTGAAATTAGGGTTTGGAGGTTAAATTTTTGGTTTTTTGTTTTTTTGTTTTTTTGCCTGTTTTTGTTTTGGTTTAAGGTTGCTGTCTGCCAAATTTGGTATTATTTGGGTTATTAGAATTTGTGCTGTTGGGAGGC